AATACAGAAATCAGGTAGCTATGAAAATGATATGTAGTATTACATAGTTTTTTTTAAAAGTAAACAGTGAAATGGAAATTCATTGTTTTATACTGAATCCCCTTTTTCGTTGTGCTGTGTACATAAAGCTCTTTTGTTTTTTGTATTTAAGTTTAAAATGAATAAAAATTTAAAAAAATAAAAGAAAATAAATTGCAAAAGCATGCAAAAGAAAAGGTTGAAGAACAGGGGGTAAGATTTTGAGTATTCTCTAATTATAGAAGAAATAGGAGGGGTACTGAATGAAATGCACCTTAACAGGGTTTAGCCTTTTCGAGAATTTTTGCCTTTTCTTCAGAAACTACAGTAAAGTTAGAATGATTGAAATGGTTGAAAAATAATCCCAAGGGATTTTTGAGATTTATAAAAGGAGGAAAGATGGGTCTTACAGTGAATGTCCATTGCATGCATTTCTCACCCTGGAAAATCCTTGAAGATATTTCTCACACTGAATAGAATAATAATAATAACATTTATCTCCCAGAGTTATTAGGATAAGAAGTGATAGTATTTCTAAAACTCTTTGCAAACCTTAAAGAGCAATATGAAAGGCCATTATTATTATTGTTACCATCATGATGATGGATGAAGAAGTAGATATATAGTCTCTAACTTTCTATGAGACAGCTGAGTGTGTTGATTTTACTAAAGAGAATTATGCAGGCATTAGGTTTTCAAACAAACAACAATCAAGAGAGTGAGCTAGGCAGTCCTGGTGACTTAGAAGGAGAACAGACCCATGTCCAGAACAACTCTGATCATTTATTGACATAAATTTAATTATGCAATTTATACAACTCTCAGTTACCCCTGAACTTAGTTTACTTAGTGAGGTAGCAGGCCTAAAACCACAACTCCACGTGGCCCCCCTTGTGGGCTTTTCCTAGTGAACTGTGGTAAAACGCCTGCACAGTAGGTACAAGAAATGCATGGTCTTTGAAGAACTGACCACTCCTTAGCCACTCCCTAATCCCACCCCAATCACCTAGTTAACATATTTGGCACATGATTTATTGTATTTTATCCTATATAAAGTTTAACTGTACCACTTTAAGACAGCAGGATCCTTAAGAATCCTTACACACTGAAAAGTATAACAATAAATTTTGTCACCTTGACTTAAAGAATGCTTGAGTCTGGGAATTCATTCCAGATGACCCATCGAGTACTCCAGTCTTTGAGGGGTCACAGCCTCTCATACCTCAACATTTATGGCACCCAGTGTGGGCCTTGTCTGAAGTCTCAGGCCTTCTCCGAGTTGAGGTAAGCCTCCCCTCTCCTCTCCCCTATAGTTGGGCTCCCTGAAGCACCTAGGAAGGCTTGGTGGGAATGGGTCGAGGTTGCAACAGGCTCTAGCAGATTTCCTTCTTGACAAGGGAAGCCTTGTTGGGAACTTTGGGGTTTTTTTGTCCCTCACCAGGACGCTGGTGGAGGCAAGTAGACTACAGGAGCCAGTTTTTTTTTTTTTTGCTCATAGGCAAAGAGGATGGGCCAATCTCCCTCTTCACCTCCTGATTTGCCTTAGGTTATCTTTTACAGAACTGGAGAAAGCTCAGTCTCCAGGACCTTAAGGAAAGTTTTGCCTGGACTCCATAAGATCTGGAGAACAACAAAAAAATATTGTCTGATTTGTGTAGGGGATTTCTGACAAGTCTCTCTGAGCTTTTGGATTCTCCCTGTCATTATTATGTACCTGTTCCGTGTTTGTGTCTGTGTGTAATTTGACACCCTTTGCAGCCAGGTAGCAAGAAGAGCATTCCAAGGGCTGCAGCTTGACTCTGGAATGCCACTTTCTTTCTCTTCCCCTCTTCCTCCCTGGTAACAGCAGCCTCAGAGGAGCAGGTGGATGGGAGAGAGAAGAATACTTTATTATTTAGGTTATATGATTGGTAAAAGGCAAGTTGAGAAGGATCCTCGAAGTGTCAGGTCATAATTAGAAAGAAGTTAGATATGTGCAGTTTTAAAGGCACTTTAATCAAAGTCCATCAGAGGGATAAGTAAGTAGAAGGAAGGCAAGAAAGTTTAAGCATGTAGGAATGAGAGAAGTATGGGTAGAAAGAAAAGCATAAGCTATTTGCATGAACAGTGTGAAGAGAGGGTTTGAGAGTAAAAGGTTTTGAAACTTTTGGAGAATTGTTAGGGAAAAAATTCTTTCTCCCTCTCTCTCTTTACATTCTAACTTTGGCCAAGTTGTTGAATATAGAAGAGAGAAAGATAAGGAGGAAAGAAGGGTGAATCCTTTCCCCTCAGATCAAAGAGAGGCAGATTGAGTAGCACTTAATCTTTTCTGCCTCACATAAAAGAGACAAGTTTTTGTGCACCGGAACACAACCAAAAGGTAATTTAATTCATTCTGGTAATATTTCAAATGAAATGTGATGCTCTTAATTGAATGCTTAAGTCAGAATTTATTATACTGTTTGGGACTAAGGTAAACTGGGGTCCAAGTACAAGCACCTAACATAAGCACCCAAGCACTGCATCAGTGAGGATTGGAAAGGAAAGAGATTTCTCCATTTTGTTTGTCACATAACTAAGAATATATGATCAGATTTTGGTACAAATTTCTTTAGATTCTTATTGAAGAAAATCTAAAAAAAATTTTCCTCAGAGGTGTGATTTCTAATGTAGCATTCCCCTCTTGGTCTACTCCTCTACATCATGTTTATAAGTTGGAAGATCAAGAGGTCAACAATCCCAGGTATTTGTGAGTCCACACTCAAAGACTCAAACCACTTGGCACAACTAGTTCAAAGAAAAGGAAACAATTACAGCATGAACCTTTCCACTGTAAATATGAGGCACACTATTCCTCAAATACGCACAGAGTCAATGGGAAGAGTGGGCCCATGCATAGTATGCTGGTTAAAAGATACATATAAGAAACAAAGCTGGCCAAGCCAGTGCAAGTCTCTGCCACTTCAACACCCTGACTTCCTTTCTCTTATTGTGAAATTTGACTGTGCTCTTTAAAAATGTTTTAAAATTTATGTTATTTTTAATTTACTGAATAAAAGAAACATTTCCATAATATAGTATATTAAAAAGTGATTGCATATGAAAATGAAAATCTATTATGCACACCATGCTATTCCCTTTAAGTAAGTTTAAATGAACTTTTAAAAAGTTATCATGTAAATTTTTTTCTTTCCCCCACCCTAGAGATGGGTATTAGACAGAAATATGTATATTTGTAAAATCATTTTATAATCTATTTATCAGTTCTTTCTCTTTATGCAGATAGTGTCTTCATTTACATGCCTTTTGTAGTTAATCTGGGTATTTGTAATAGTGAAAATGTTACTTTTTCTGGGAACAGTATCTTTGCTGGCCAGTTCTTACTGTTGGATTCCCTGGGGCTGCTTTTCTCCTTAGCTCAACTTCTGACAGCAGAGCTGATTCTCACTCTATTTAAAATAGAGCTGTTGGTTGTTTTTTTTTTTTATATCAAGGCAAGGGGCTTGGCTAATCTAGACTTAGCTTGCATGGCATCAGTTGCCTTCATCATATAAGCAAGCACCCTAAATACTCTCAGGTTGATCAAAAGTGGTCATGTTAACTAAGGAGTTAAAAATATTAAGCTTTATTTAAATTTGCTTTACAAAGAGTGAATGAGACACTCCCAAGTTTTGCAACCTTTACTATCTGTGAATAGGACACATAGGGTGATCATTTTATGTCTGAAATGGGAAAAGTTTAAAAATCTAAGACCCTTATACTAGCATGTCTTAAACGCTGACTTATGGACTCAGCAGTTGAAGATTACCAATCTATGCTTTTCTCTTCTATAGTCATTGAACTCTGTTCACAGCTCTGTTGTATTATAAATTATCCTTCATTTGGTAAATAACAGAGTAAGAAGGAGCCACCTAAAATGTAATAACAGTAACAGGGGAAAGAAACCAAATAAACATGGCTCAGACTCCATGCTTTATGATGAAGACTCCATAGATATAATGGTGATTAAGAGAGGGATTGTTGGCTTTTTATTCGTTTTCCCCCCACAGAGTTGAATCCTTGAGAAAAAAAGAAAGATGATCTTGGAAATATTCTAGATATAGAACTTGAAAAGTATAAGGGCCCTGAAATTATAAATATTCCTTCTTTAAAAAAAAAGAATGTGGAAGTGAGAATGGAAACATGTTTCTGTGTATACAATTAAACATTCAGCAGGTGGCAGCAGAGCTATATCTTCTGGGTGATGAGAATGGTATTGAACTTTGAGGATCATCTCACAGAAATCTTAGCCATACTTGCTCCATAAATCAGATTATTAGGTCAATGTCACAGAGAATAACAGTTTCTCTCTCCCATTAAATAGGCTATGACTCTCTGAGGAACAAGGTGTTTGTTGGAGGAGACTTGCAAATCTCTTATTGTGAATTGTGACTTTCATAACTCAATTTCTCCACCTAAAAGATTGGAAAAAAGGTATATGAGCTATTCCTATCAAGGCAATGAGTGAGTATAACTGAAACTATGGGTAAATAATTTAGGTGAAATGTAATCCTAGGAAAAAGGAGATGAAAAGTTGAGTTAGGAAGCAGTAGAGTGCCAAGGACCAGGAAAAGAGACCCTGAGAATAAACTGATTCACAAAAGAGATTCAGTGTGTTGGTCATTGGAAATGGAAGATGTTTGAGGAGGTTTGACATTCAGAAATGGGCCTAAGATCAATTAGAAATGTATTAGGAGCACAGAAAAGCCTACAACATGTCATCCAACTGTTTAGAGTTATCTAAGTAATGTGGGGTCATTGACACTGAGTCAAAACCATCAGTTCTGAGAGTCTCAGTGTCAACAACATTCCCCAGTCCTTTGGCACTAGTTCTAAGAGAACTATCCGAAGTTCAGGAAAGAAACTTCTCCCTGGGAGGAAGAAGGTGTTCTTCCTCTTTTTGAATAGAGCAAGACATGCAAATTGGGTCCCTCCCACTGGATGAAAAGCAGCCCCAAACCTGTACCTGTACCTCTTGTGGGAGACAAACTCAAGTGCTCTGTGTCCTTCCCCACAGAGGACTAACCTGGAAACTCACCATGAAATTTAGGCTGAACTGGATTTTCCTTCTGACCATTTTCCAAGGTAGTTTTATGGAGAGGAAGGGACAATGTGAAGTGGTGACTTCATGTGACTATTGACTTTAATGTAATGTCTCTGTGTTGCAGGTGTCCAGTGTGATGTGGAGCTGGTGGAGTCTGGGGGAGATGTGATACAGCCTGGGGGATCTCTGAGCCTCTCCTGCAAAGCTTCTGGATTTACTTTCAGCAATTACACATGAGTTGGGTCCGCCAGGCTTCAGGAAAGGGACTGGAATGGGTTGCAAGCATTAGTGGTAGTAGTAGTACATACTATGCAGACTCTGTGAAAGGCCGATTCACCATCTCCAGAGATAATGGCAACAGCATTATATCTACAAATGACTTCCCTTGAGACTGAGGACACAGCTGTGTATTACTGTGCAAGAGACACAGTGAGGAAAAGGAATGTGAGACCTGATAAAAAACTTCCCCTGCCAGGAGGTGAAGTGTCAGTGAGGCAAGAAGTGGACTGAGCTCATGATGCACAAAGTAAAAGATGCCTATATCCAGGAACAGGTATAGTGAATTTCTATTTTGGCTTGTGGTGTTTTTTTTCTCCTGTCCCAGGAGAAAGCAACTTTTCCAGTACCTAGCTATCATTCTTAATGCCTCACTCTCAGTCCCACCTCTACCCCATAATTAATTAGTAGTTATGTATCGTCCATTCTACTTTTATCAGAAATCTACTGTACTCTACCTTCTCTCCTGAAGGTACTGCAACCACCCTGAGGTAGTTCTTTCCCAACTCATACCTGGACTATTATGCTAGCTTGATATTTGTTCTCCCAGCCTTAGTACTCTCTTCACTCCAGTTCACAGGAAACTCAGCTATTAATATCACCTTCCTGAAACATAGATCTGACAGTTTTTCCCAAGTTCTGGTGAATCCAGAATAAAATATAAGTTCTGATTTGGCTTTTAAATCCTCTTTCAGCATGGCTCCTTCCTGTCTTATTCTACCTTAGTCTTTTCCACATGCTCATCAATCCAATGACACTGATCTCCTTGCTGTTCCTTTCACAACAGATTCCATCTCTCTACTGTGTATTTTCACTGGCTGGAATTCTCCTCCTCCTCATCCCTGCCTCCTGGCCCCTTGACCTCCTTAAATCTTACCTAAAATACACCCCACCTTCTACTTTCCCCATCCTCTTTAATTCCACCTTTATGCTGCATATATATGTATACACACACACACACACACACACACACACAGATTAGATAAATAGATAGTGCGTTATTATTTCAATGTTGTCTCTCTGAATAAGAGTGACCACCTTAAAAAGAGGTACAATTTTTTGCCTTTCTTCATATCCCCAGTACTTAGCGCTGTGCTTGGCACATAGTTTACTATGCTAAATAAATACATACTTGTTGCTGATTGACCTTCTGTTCCTTTTTGAATTTGGCTCTCCTAAATTGCTGAGCTTTTTCTATTTCTGATTTCCATGTTATATACATAATGAGTAAATTTGCCAACATTTTAACATGTCCGCATGAGGTATAACAAAATATTGAACATTATTATGAGTTAAATTTAACAAGAAGGTAAATTAAGGCACCTTTCTCTAAGCAAGAATACATTCTATAGTCAAGGCTGGGAACCTGAGAACAAGATGGGTCAACAACTACCTCAGTCTCCAGACAGAGATCCCAGCTCTCCTTGTATAGATTTTGGCTTGTACAGAAGAAAGAACAGTACAGGATAGGTGACATCAAGGGCTTGAGGTCAACATGATTTTTACATAGGTGAAGTGTGGGGAACAACATGATTGTTTGGAAATTTGGAGTGGGTCCTAACACCAACCCTCCTTCTTTCCCATTTATGACTAAGAAGTGGTTATTTTGAGTCTACTTTCATGTTAGAAGATAGTGGTCTAGACTTCTTCTGATAGCAAACCAGATAGCCCTGAAGGATAGTTTGGTGGTGTAAAGATATTAGACCCAATTCCCTTATGGCAAACCATATTCCCTCAGGGTTAGCAGAATTCCTTCAGACAGGAATACACACTGATTAGCAAGAGAACTGGATTTCAAACTTAACCCTTACAGGTCAGCTGAATTCTGAACTAAGTTTAGAGACATAGAACCATAACTAAGTACTCAGTTATAGGGCATAATCAATTAATTGTAAATAAGATAAATGAGAAAATGATACAGGATCCATTTTAATCTTCTCAGTATTATATGCATACAGCCATATCACATGCATTATGCATAGATTAAAAATGCCTTTACAAAGAGACTAAAGAGTGTCCCACTCACAACTTGTAATCCAGTATAAAAAAAAGTGTTTATAGCTTTAGCTGATGTAAGTAATTTCATTAATCAACCTGAGAGGATTTTTAGGCTTGAAGTATGAAAGGAACTGACTCTACATGAGGAAGTTGTAGGACTGGCTAACCAGTAGAATCCCAAAACTGTTAAAGCAAATGGGCAAACCCTGCTCAAATGAGTTATTAAAAAGGATTTAATTCATTTTTAAAAGTAAGGAAATTCTAGTTGCTCCTCTCAGGTGCCTTCTTACCCTGACACCTGAGCTTTTTATACTCAATAGCAATTAGTCACTGCCTCCTCAGCAATGTTGACTCCATTGGCACCAGAACAGAAATGTTTAGAAAACATTTTCAATGCAGTCATCATTGCCGACATCTTGGAAAGTGAGGATTCAGCTCATCGAAACTTAATGAAAAAAACTGTGCTTGGTGTCTTGTTTACCAAACTCCATTTCTGATCACCCATTCAGTATTCAAAATGTCTGTTCATGGATGTAGATATTCTGGTACTGACAAACATTGATGAGCTTTAAAATTTAACATTATTATTTTTGCACTTAATAGTATTTTATGTTTTCCAATTGCATGTAAAGATTGTTTTCAACATTCATTTTTACAAGATTTTGAATTCTGAATTTTTCTCCCTCCCTCCTTTGTAACAGATACAATCATGTTAAATATATGTTCATATTAGCCATATTATGAAAGAAGAATCAGAACAAAGGGAAAAACTAGGACAAAGAAAAAAAATAGTTAAAATAGTGCTTTGATCTGCATTCAGACTCCATAGTTCTTTCTCTGGAGTTGGATACCATGATTCATCTTGAGTCCTTTGGAAATTTGGATCATTGTGTTGCTGCCACAAAGCTAAGTCCATCATAGCTGATCATCAAACAATATAGCTGTTACTGTGTACAACTTTCTTCTGGTTCTGCTCACTTTACTTTGTATCAGTTCAAGTAAGTGTTTCAGGTTTTCCTGAAATCATCTTGCTTGTTATTTCTTACAGCACAATAATATTCTGTCACAATCATATATCACAGCTTATTTAGCCATTCCCCAGTTCATACATATCACCTCAATTTCCATTTCTTGGCCACAACATAAGGATACCCTTTCATCCAACAATACCACTGCTAGGTCTATATCCTAATGAGAATAAAAAAAGGGAAAAGGACCTACTTGTAAAATTTAACTATGTTCTACATAATGTATGGAATTTTTATTTCTTTTCTAAAGATTATGAAGCAGTGACTGAAAAATGAAAATACAAGTCCTGTGCCAGTGAAGGAAAAAAAAACATACAAAATTGACATAGTTCAGATTCTATGCATTATACAAGATTTCACAATCCCAATGGCTGATGTGAAAATAATTTGTTTTTATGGAAAGGTCCTAATGGACCTTGCAAACCCTTACCCTTACTTTCCCATCTTCACCCCTTCTCCCCATGGAATAAGAGCACTGACCCACCCCTTTCCTACTCAGTACAAAAAAAGGAAAGGTAAATAAGAGCAGGGAAAAGATACTCTATTTTCTGAGGACATAGTGATGGCAGACTTGGGAGCTCTGAGTAAGGAGAGTGGTGTCTTATTTGGAAGTTCAGTTCAAAATGCTCTGACAGTGTAGAAGACAAACTCATGCCCCACAAGGGCATAATGTGCTCAAAGTAAGTTGAGGGGGAGGTTATTATAAACTGCAAAGAGAATATAGTAGAAACTCTTTCTAAATGCTGTAGAAGAAGAAATGGGGAGTTGGTTTCTTGGGGTGCCTATGTCACTGTCCCACAATACATTATGGGCCTATATTAGAAACAGTATATGCCTTGAGATACAATGGAAGCTTTCTTTGCATCTCTTGTCCATTTCATGCTTCATTTACTCTAGGTGGAAGAAGATATGAGAAACATTTGGCAGTAGAGGTAAATAACAGGTGGATTCCAAAATTAAAAATGAGCAAAGGCACCAGAAGGAAACACAAGAGCCAAGACAGGGGCAGAGATATAGAGGGAAAAGGTACCCATGAGCAGATTCAATTCAAAATCAAGGATAAGAGAGACTTAGGGTGCTTCCTTAATCAGAAATTGGAAGAGACTCCCTCAAAAATATCAGTAATAGAAAAAAGCCTAATAAGCATTTTCTTGGTATTGAGAATAATTGGAGTGATGGAAAGGACAGACCCTGTCTTTTACATCATCAATGTTGCATATTCTTAGTGTCATAAAATGCTCTCCAGGGTTTTAGAACCAGTTCTAGAGGATCCTTCTCTTTGCAGATCAGGGAGAGGACTAACCCCCAGGAGGTGGCAGCTGTTCTTCCTTTTATTGAAGGGATGTGGGAGATATCTTTACTTCTCCTGATTTATTTCTTGCTGGACCCAGATGGCTCTGGAGAAGAAAGTGAGTCTGGTGACTTTGCACAGTCCTCCACCACTTTAATCCAATTCACTTGCAATCATGACATCACCTTCCTGATGCCATGGTCCTCTTGAGAATGAAGGAAACAACAAGAATGAAGGGAGAGGACATGCAAACTTCTTTTTCCCTTGATGTAAACCAGCCCAAATCCTCTAGCTCTAGGAGAGAACTTCAGTCTTGTGTGATTTCTTTTATCCTGATGACTGACCCTGTAGAGCCTCCACACTGGGATTTGAGCTGAATTGGATGTTTTTAAAAATATATTTCACATCAATTCACAGAGAAACAAGCATTTCCATACACAGCACAAAAAAAAGATGATTGCATAAAACTGCAAATCTACCATGTACAACATGCTATTCCCTCCAAATATAGAATAACATTATCCTGTAAATCATGTAAAATTATCATGTAAATGTCACAAAAAAAAATCTTCCCTGGGATCATCTTGTAGTCATCCTTGTTTTCTGAGAATAATTACTTCCTGTACTGTCT